CATTGAAATACAAATGCTCCCTTATTACTCTAATAGTAAACTTTCTTGTATTCCCACATCTCTCGCATGGACAATGAATGCGCCTATGATCAATAGCATTTGCTAATGCTATCCTTAGAAATTCTTCAACCCCATCTTCATACTCTTTGCTTCTTCTATCTTCATGCATCCAAGATTTATCCATATCCCTTTAACCAATCCATTTCATAAACACAAAAAATATTATAAACAACTTGAGTTCACATTTCAAATAATGAGGGAAGCTGCCTATTATATGAGAGCATCTCAAGTTGCTTTAATATTGCAAATAAAAAACAAATATGCCCAAACAATATATAAATTGAACCCTAACTGAATGAGTGTTTTAATGATGCATATGCAGTTTATCCTATAGCTAGCATTTAGAGTACTTCACAAAAAAAAAGAAAAAAAAGAAAGAAAGAAAGAAACCCAAATTTAAGCATGGCATGAAAAAGTGCAAGAACTTGTAAATTTTGATGAAATACAAGTGTACTTACAGCAGTCAAAAGATCAGTAGTTGCAGAAACAGATCTGATCCCTCTTTGACAACCCTGCAAATTAAGGCAAATACAAATTAACATATTATTTACAAAGTAAACACAGAAATTAAGGCAACTTGGACTAGAAAACTGTACAATATTATTTACAAAGTAAACACAGAAATTGAAACTTAGTAAAAATAAAAATAAAAAGCTAATCTACTAATAGAAGTTACAGCCACCTTCAGGTGTATTGAACATGTAAGGAATGTTTAAAAACCCACCTTAAATTTGCAACTTCCAACAAACTACCCAAACTGATAAATGTTCTCTCTTAGATAAAAGAACAATTCAAAACCTAAACTGACAAATTACACTTAGAAAATAGCAAAACCACTTGTCAAACTAATTACATAACAAGCTAAACACATGGTCTCTGAAACTGATGGTGGCAATTTGTGACGTCAATTCAGTTCCCATTGCATAGTCAATGAGCTTTGCAATGGTTCACCTGTCTTTCTCATATATGAGAGTTGTAGGAATTTTGTTTGATGAATTACATAAATGGTCAATACCAAGCCAAGCTCTACGTATTTTACTAACTTGACGAATGTGAAAAAAAAACCCAATTATGTTTATAGCTTAGACTGAAAGCAAACACCCATCAAAAACTAAAATTCCCAAAACTCAATTCTACATGAAAATACAAAAGCCACGGAATAAAATTATCAAATAAACCAAGCCACCGAATCAAATTAAACCATCAAGCAGGTTCCAAGATAATCAATCACAAATTTAGCAACATAACACAACAAAAAGCTATAAAAAAATATTTAAAAAAATTGATCTGGTGCTATTTACTAAAATTCGAAGATTTTCCTAGTATTGAGAGAAAGAATGTTTAACCTTAAATTTTAGTTGTGAAGAGAGAAGAAAAGCTTACCGGAAGAGGAGGTGTGGGGTGTGGTCAAAACCCTAACTTTTGGGGGAAAGGGAAATGTGCTTCGAACTGATAGATGAAATCACACAATTGTCAACTTAAACTTCCGTCTGAGTGTCTGGGCTTGAGACTAGCTTGAGAATCGTCGAATGGAAGAACGATTCTCACTGTGAATCGTAATGGTTGAGCATCTGAGGGTTTTAGCAAGAATGGGGCAACGATGGAGGAGAGAGAAGAATGAGAGAGTTTCAGAGGGATTGAAGGAGAGTTTTGTTTAGGAGATGAATTTTTAGGGTACAGTTTCAGAGTGAGTGAAAAAATTGAGAGGGAGTTAGAAGAATTGGGGCTGAAGTTTGAGAGGGAGCTGAAGTTTCTTTCAGAGTGAGTGAAAAAATTGAGAGGGAGTTAGAAGAATTGGGGCTGAAGTTTGAGAGGGAGCTGAAGTTTCAGAGAGTGTTTGCGAGGGAGAGTAAAAATTTTGGGTTAGGGCGTTGACTCAGACTTTAGGCATCAGAGGTATATTACCAAAAAATGACCCTCTTAAAAATAAAATAAAAACTAATCACTTTAGGCATCTATATTTATGTAGATGATGCTAAAGGGGAATAAAGCCATCGTCATAAATAAATAAAAATGTGCGCTGATGTCTTTATACCTGTTTAGTATCGTTATTTTCCAAATTGATGCCTAATCTGCTAATAGCATCGATTTCCCTCTTTACCGATGCCTATCTAGTGTTGTTGTAAGTGAAATTTGACATAGTGACAAAAGCACTGGTCAGAGATATGCAAACCGCCCAAAGAATGTACCTGATCCTGCAATATGGATTGCAATGGTTGATGAATGGTTAAAGCCTGAGTGGTAGGTAAAAGTTAATTTAAATAAGATGTTTTAGCTATACATAATTATTAAGTTACCATTCTACGGTGGGCT